GGCGTGTACCACCACCACCTGGCAACACTTTCTTCCTTCCTTCCTTCCTTTCTTCTTTTTTTTTTTTTAAAAGACAGGTCTTCTTTATGTAACACTCCTGGTAGTCCAGTGATGTGGGAGGTCCTGTGATTATGTCAATAAAGCACTGTTGAGCCAATAGGGAACCAAGATAGGAAGGACTAGGAGTCCAGGAGAACTCTGGGAAGGAGAAACACAGAGAGTCGAGATGTAACGCCATGGGGTAGGAAGCCCGGAAACTTCTCCGGTAAGAGACATACTTAGATTAACAATTATGGGGTAATTACTTAAGTCAGAGCTAGCCAGTAAGAAACAAGCAAGGCCAACAGCTTCATAATTAATATAGCCTCCTGTGTGTTTATTTGGGACTGATGTGGCTCTGGAACCAGGCTGGCGGGAAGGCTTCTCTCAAGGAAAAAGCCTCCCTTTACAGTCCGGGAATTCACTTTGTCCACAAGGCTGTCTTCAAAATCATAGCGAGCCACTTGCCTCTCTGATAAAAGTTTGTTGACACATCTTAGGTGCTTTGTTCATCTGGATGTGTTCGGTGACCAGAGAATCTACGTCTAGACCCTTAAGCTCAGCATTACTTTCTGCATTTTTAAGCACATGCAGCAAAAACCCAGCACTCTTTTTTGGCCACCGACCCTGTGTCCAGCCCCACTGTTTGGCCTGGACGCACCTGCCGACTCCACCATTGTACGGCTGGAACGGCACGCATTGCTTCTTCAAAGTGACAGCTTTCAGGTATTTGGTGGCTTTTCGGATGTGCATACCCTTGATGGCCTGGGCAGTTTCACGGGTATTCTTAAAGTGAACCCGGAGATTTGAACCTCTTGACTTGCATGATTTTGTAGGGTTTTCTGGGTCGAGAGAATTGTGAACTGTCTTTACAGGTTACCTCAGGAAGAGAGAGAAGACAATCCTAACTAAAAGTGGGCAAATAGATTGAATAGAGATTTCCCCAAAATCATGAAAAGATGCCCAACATGATTACTCATTGTAGATATGCAAATTAAAGCCACAGTGAATACTACATTGTGCTCACTCTATTAGCTATAATGAAAAAAGACAGGTATTAGCAAGTGTTGGCAAGGATGTAGAGGACTTAGCACCCCGTGCTTAGTTTCTTGGCATATTAGAACAGTCCAAATACTTTTTAGAAAGTATTTTAGGAGTTCTGCAAAATGTACAGCACAGTTATGGCATGACCCACCAATCTTAAGTGTGTATGTAGCAGGAATGAAAACAGGTCCACCAGATGAGTTCATGAATATTTTTAGTAATGCCTGTGCTGATTAGTTTCTGGTCAGCTTGACACAGACTCTGCTCATCTGGGAAGAAGGAATCTCAACCAAGGAATTGCTTCTCTCAGAGACTAGAGTGCTTACCTAGTTTGTGAACTCATTTGATACATGCTCTTAGTACAAAGGTGTGGCACTAGAAACTAGAGGTAAAACGTGGTCTTGGCATGATAGATATAGATGAATTAAACCAGATGGAGACTCCATCTGTCTGAAGGTCAGCACTTAAAAAGCAAGTAGATTTTAAGCAAAAATGCCAAAGTAATCCAAAGTGGGAAATACAGTTTTTAAACAATTAGAACTGAAGCAAGTGTGGTGGTTTGAATGAGAATGGTCCCACAGGCTCATAGGGAGTGACGTTATTAGGGGGTGTGGTCTTGTTGGGGTAGGTGTGGCCTTCTTGGAGAAAGTGTGTCACTGGGGGTGGACTTTGGGGTTTTCAGAAGCTCAAGCCATGCCCAGTGTCTCTTTCTTCCTGTGGTCTGTGGATCCAGAAGTAGAACTCTCAGCTACCTCGCCAGCACCATGTCTGCCTGCGTGCCCACCATGTCTGATGATCATGGACTCAATCTCTGAACTGTAAGCCAGCCCCACTTAAATGGTTTCCTTTATAAGAGTTCTGTGGTCATGGTGTTTTTTCATAGCAATAAAAACCTTAACCAAGACAGTAACTGAATACTTCTTGGAAAAAATTACCCTTATCTCTACTTTTAATTTTATTTGATTTTTTTTATTCTCAAGAGAGTCTCACGAGGCAGCCCATGCTATCCTTGAACTTGTGATTCACCCTGCTATGCTTGCCTGAGTGCTGTGACTAAATGCTTGTGCCCCACACCTGGCTCAACTTACCTCTTGTTTTATCTACCCTTCCTTAAACATTTATTTGTCTAACTTAAGCACTAAACATATGAAACATCAAAACGTGCAATGAGTTGTTGTGGGGTTAGTCTTAAATATATGAGTTCTCAGCCAGAATTGAATACTGCTGGGACACTTTATATGGTCCACTGATTGACCTACTGAGTCCTCAGACAACCCTGCAGGGCATGTGACATTAACTGACCTCATTTTTGAGATAAGAAAGCAAGCTCAGGGAAGTTGTTTGCCTGAGTGATAACAGCGAGTGTGGCAGATGCCGTTGGTGTCAGTGCCACCATTGACTTGTAGATTGAGTAGGCTGAGATGCTGCCAATGTCCCCACAACATGTTCTGTGCTTGCATCTCTTTCTCACTGTAAACCATCTCCAAGGCTGTAGGAGCCCGTGTGACTTTCCTGTAACTGCAATCCAGAAGTGTGGGAGGGTCAGTCGTTGCGGCAGTGAGACCCTCAAGACTAAGCAGAGCTGTGGGTCAGTGTTCCAGCATCCTCCCTTTCAGACAGACATTCCATGTGTCCAATTCAGTGTTTAGAGCTATGGTCAGAGTCAGTCTTGTTGCCTGCAGCACTAGCTTGGTTTTGCTCTATAAAAGTCCCTTCTCACCTGTGTCTTCCTTCCTGCTTTTGAGACCATTACTTAGAGAAACCGCGAGTTCCAGTAGGAATGTCCAGTCACTGGTCAAATGGCAATGAAGGTGGTAAGTGGATGGTGACAGTCACTGGCAGACTGTGTTATGACAATTTCTGAGAATCACACTTGCATTGGATTGGGATGATGGGGGCAAACCCAGAATAGTTAGATTCTATAGTAGCTTTGAATTTGACTAGTTGGGACAAATTTATTGCTATGTACTGACCTGTATTCCAAAGTTGGCTCCTTTTTGATAATTGTCTCAGAAACCTTGAAGAAAAAGAATCCAGGCAAGACCAGCCAACTATTGGGACATGCCAGGAAGTCAGAGAGGTTCCAAGGCATACCTAATGTCATGTGTTGCAGACTGTGTTTAAAATAAAACTAGCATTGTAAGCTTGTAAGTGGCAGGACTATACAAGGATAATTTGTAGGTCACTCATGCTAAAGCCAGAACCATGAAATGAAGGAGTTCCTTGGACAGAGAATAGGGTATCTTTTGAGAGTATCTCAAACTTCAGATTGTCCAGAATCTTCCAGGCCAGAAGAAGGTGCTCTCTCTTGCCAGAGAGTAACTGTTCTCTGAAAAACAACTCATCTGAGATAGATGCTTCATGGGCTAATATTTATCCTCCTGAGGAGACCTACTATTTTTACCTCTCATTGCCGCTAGGGCAGAGGTTCTCAACCTGTGGATTGCCATCGTCAGAAAACACAATTTCTGATGGTCTAAGGAACAGAGACACCATTTAGTAGCAAAATCACAGTTATAAAGTAACAGTGAAACAAATTTATGGTTGGAGCTTCCTAAGACCATCAGGAAAATGTGTTTTCCAATGGTCATGACCCACAGGTTGAGAACCACTGTTCTAGACCAATAATTAAGAAAAGCCTTACCATACAGCATCCTAGCAGAGAAAGTCAGTGTCTGTCCTGGAAGGAAACAGACTAGTCACTCAATTTGGAGGACCTGGGTAATGTGTATGCATATGGTGGCCTAGGAAAAGATATGTGGAAAGTCTTTATTCTTAAATGTATTTATTTTCATGTGTATGAATGTTTTGCCTGCATTAATGTCTGTGTATCACACACACACACACACACACACACACACACACACACACACACACACACACACACACAGAGTAGCTACAGAGGCTAGCTTTTGATCCCCTGAGACTGGAGTTATGGACCACTGTTAACCATCATGAGGATGTGGGGAAATGAAGCTGGGTCCAGAAGAGCCAGTGCTCTTAACTGCTGATCTTCTCTCCAGTTCCATGTGGAGCAATCTTGAGGGTGTTAGATGGAGGACAGGATAATCATGGGCACAGAATTATTCTCTTTCAGATTAGGATTAAACACTAAACACCTTGGAAGAATACCCAGGAATGACATGTTATACATGATCATTGGTCTTTTTCATTTGTGTGTGTGTGTGTGTGTGTGTGTGTGTGTGTTTGTAGCATGCATATATGTGGAGGCTTGAGTGTCATCTAGGGTGCTGTCCTCAGGAACATTGTCTACCTCCTTTGCGAAAGGTCTTTCATTGAACTGGAACTCACCAATTAAGCCAGACTGGCTGACCAATGAGCTCCAGAGACTCTCCTGTCTATGCTTCTCCAATGCAGCGATTATGAATACATGCCACCATGCTCAACACTCATGTGGGCTTACAAGTCAGGCACTTTTTTTTTAACCGACTGAGTCATCTCCCTTTAGTCCTTCTTTCTAATTTTAATGTAAAGGTTCTAACTTGTTTACCTAGACCACATTTGTGCCCTTTGAGAATGTGAGAAGTCCTTTACTAGTGTCCTTAAGCTATAATCATTTACTGCACCTCAAGCAGAGTTAAAGAGAAGATGGTGCTTGAAGAAGAATGAATGTGCTAGCTCTCTCCTGGAAGGTCATGTTCATTAGCAAAATGATCTAAGCACACTCTCAGAACGTAAGTATAATGGTCATATATGCTCTTTGGATGTATGCGATGGTCTGGAGTCTCAACTGAGCCAACTGAATTGATCTTTGCATGAGAATCCAGTTGCTTTAAAGAGTTACTGGTTTTTAGGGAATTCCTGTCAGACTGGAAGGCTGACATCTCTGGGATGAAGTGCACCCATGTATGGTCTTTGCGTTAGCAACATTACAACGCCAGTTAAGATAGTCAAGGTATTTTAAATAATTTTATTCTTAAATTTAACAAGCTCTTATTAGAAATGCTTTGGTATCAATACAATAAAAATATATTGGTTCCCCCGACCTGCTGAGTCATGTCAAGTAACTGGAAAAGTTAGCATTTGTTTTCCCCAGCTTTTGGGGGGATTTTTCCCCCTACAAATAATGAGTACTATTTATTTATGTGGCTTACTATGGGTATAATTATATATGTTTTTGGACTTTAGGAAAAAGAAATGAAAGTATTCAGAAGACAAAATTTCAGGCATTTCTTGGCTTCTTCTCAAAGGGTTCTTCAGGTGGGCACTACAGCGCTCAGATTACCTTTTTTCCCAGCTTTGCCATTCTTATCCTTAAAGCTGTAAGTTAAAGTGAAAAAAAGCAAGTTATAAAAGAATCATAATTTTTCCTCCAAATGACCATTTCATAGAAGGCAGGAAAGTTGAGAACATACCTCAGATGGTTTTATCCAACAGGGTGAGCATTGTTTTAGTAGCATAAAGAGATAGCAGAAATAATGAGCTGTGGTTAGCTTAGGACAGGCATAGGTTGAGAACTAGGGGGAACCTATATCTACAAAGGTCAGAAAAAAGAGCAGAGCAAACACAGTACAGGTGGATGGTATGTATTTTTGCTATCGGCCTAGTTATGTATTACTTTACGTCAATTTTGTATATATCCTTAATCGTGTACCACTGAACAAAAAAGATACTAATATTTAAACTACATTTAGTGATTAGATTTAGAAAAAAATCTCATGAAGCTTGGTCGTCCATAGGCTCTCTGACCTTTGGATATGCAATGATAAGAATAAATTTATGTATGAAACAATGTGAACTAATAATTAAGCATTAATGTGTAATTATCCTTTTGAATGGCAAGTGTATCTTTGAGTTCCACTGCTGATGAAGTGTTGGCTGTAGAAAACATTTTTAAAAATGTAGGTGTGGGATTTATAATACTCCTTTGGTGTTCTGCTATCATTCCTTAATATTTAGGGCCCTTGAGTTTAGCTGCCTTAGTCATGTTCCAAAAGTTGAAAGATGCTTTCAAGGCACTGAGCATATGATTATATTAATTATGTAATATTACATTCATGTGTAAAATGGCCCAAGAAACAGCCATTTAACTAATTGCACAATTTTGTTTTAATGAAACAATAAAAGGGAACACATTTTTTCCATCTCTATGCCACACATTATTTATTACCTCTTAACCAGAGAAATGATTCTATCTCCAAAAGGTCTTTTATAAAAATCTAAGAAGGGATGGGAACCTGCTATCATCATGAGGTGCTTTCCTTTGCCATGTTACCTCTGTGAGATAGTTTCATTTTAAGGAAGGCGAAAAGCATTGGTTTCCCTTGACAGTGAAGAGGAATGATCACTTCTAACAGCAAGACCAGGAATCCTCCTTTGACTTCAGGATGTGTTGAGAGAATTTCCTTTGCTCAGTCAGCAGGATGGGCTCTGTTGCTGGGAGCTGCTGGGTGGAGATCTTTGAGGAGCTGCCTGCAGTCCCACAGCAGAACAGGCAGGAGGCAAGGCTTCATGAAGGGCTGCTCTTAGGTTTTGTGGCCCCTTGTTTTACCAATGCCGGGAGAGAGCAGGGATAAGGGGTTGTTTAAAGGTCTGCTTTAAGGCAGGGACAAAATCCTGTTCCCTAGGGTTATTATGTCTCATCTTGAGAGTCTGTAAATAGAGCCCACCCTGTGTCCCAGGACATGGAGTGAAGTCAGTTAGCACCAGCGGTCCTTTTTCCAAGCCTGTGGCAATAGCTCTAATTCTAGCTGCAGCTGTGGAGACAGAGCATGCCCAGGCAATGCAAGAGGCATCCCCCAAACACTGGGCCATCAGTTCTCTTGACTACTCTTTTCTGCTCTTCTCTGATCCCAGTCCTGTTTCCCTACAACCACTCAGACAGATAGTTTTAGCGGCTTAAACTTGGTGGAAGTGAGATTGGTGTTTCACCCTCCAGTCTTCCTTAACCCCTACTGGCAGTTTCTGAGTCAGTGGTGATCAATGGCATGAGTGCTCCACAGCTAAGGGTTTTCTACCTCTTCATCCCAGAGTACCATGGATATCTTTAGGAGCACAGAACAGAGCTAGAACAAGAATAGGCATGCAAGGTCTACCGAAGAAAGCTAGCTGCCTAGCTGCTGCTGGTGGGGGTAGTGGGATCTCATGGAAAGCTTGCAGAAGCCACACAATAGTAGGTGTGTCTGGACTATATCAAGCAGACAGACATAAGATTACCTAACTTTTTCTGTCGTGTTTTATAGTGTTCAAACTTTTACTAAAATACACTGTCTTTAGTCTATCCACACTGGACTAGTTTTCATGTTTCTTCTTCCTACACATAGTTGTTCAAGTTAAAAACTGCTTGTGTGTGTGTTTGTGTGATGCATGCACTGGTATGCACAGGAGACCAAAGCAGGACATCAGGTGTCCTCCTCCATTACTCCATGCCTTGTTGAATCAAACTCATGTCCTTATTTTACAGACCAGGTACTCTTACCCATTGAGCTATCTTCTCCAACTCTAGGAACTGCTTTTGATATAAGATTTTGATAACTATATGTATAACAAGTGAAAGGAGATTTACAATTCTTAATTAATATGTCTACCAGGACTATTAGTATTTAATAGGATATTTGTACTTTAATAAAGAAATTGACTTAAATTTTGGGTTTTTAGTTATTGTGTTCTCTCTCTCTCTCTGTATGTATGCATGTGTGCAATGTTGAAAGCACAAAATAAAATGTACTTGTGAAATTCAAGTACATATGTAGCTATGTTCTTTATGTACATAGATGGTCTCTGAAAGCATAATACGATTGACTTATTTTTTAAAACTCATCCATACTACACCTGAACTCTAATCCTTGTGATGAATTGGAAGGAACAGATGTAAAACAATGAAATGTAAGGAATTTGGAGCATTCTTTTTACAAGATATTCAGTTTGATAGTACAAGACTTTGTATTGTTTCTTTGTCTGGAATAGGTTTTCCTGTTTTCATAATTTTAGTTCAGTAGCATGGTTAGTGCTGTCTGGAAATGTTAGTCACTTCCTGCCATTTTTCTTGGGGTAAATGTTAACATGGTTAAGGGAGAAGGAGTAAGGGTGTTTGGGAGGAGCTGGCTAGTATCCAAGATCAAAAAGGGAGTTTTTGCTTTTGTGTTTTACAGTGGTTCACATTCATGCAACTGACCATAAATAGGGCGCTCATTTTCTCTATGCCTCATGCATTGTTTTAAGAATGAATTTCAAAGGAAACATTTGACCAAAAACAAAGCTCCCTCTCCAAATGGAATGGAACTTAGTATCTGCAGCTTTCCATTGTGGGGGAACATTACTCCAGAGTCTGAGGAAGATATATGAGTGTCCATTTCTCAAAAGGGTAGAAATTCTTCAGATGATTACATTTACAATGGGTTCACCTAATTCAAGAACTTTGAAGAATGGAAGGATGTCCTTATTATGTTGTTATTAGCAACACAATATTGGGCTGCCATACTTCTGTAAAAGTATCAGGTTATACTCGCCGGGCTGTCTGCTACTGAGTAGTTATTGCTTCTTTTTTTTAAAAAAATTAAAAAATGATTTATTTAGTTACTGCTTTTTAATGACCATTCTTCAATTAGCAACATTTAAAATTACTTTCCATTTCTAACATTTAGAACCTGTGCATTTGTACAATTTGACTTAGATTTTTTAGCTAGGGTTTGCTCAGTTATTCTAATTGTTCTTGTCAGATCCTTATTTATTTTGCCATAAATGATAACCATTTGCGATATTTGAATGATAACAAGGAATTTAAAATTGAGGAGATGTTGGTTTGTAAAAAAAAGTGTTGCAGTTACTTTTCATTCAATGTTAAGATAGCTAAAGAGATTCAAAGCCATAAAAACTTCATAGAGAATGAGGAATGTAGCTATATAGAAAATAGAAAAATATGCTAAGTTGGAGAAGACTATGAAAGGTTGAGTCATAGATGATGCAAGATAAAATAACATTCTATCTTTAAAGTATAGAAAATTAAAGAACCAAAGTTAATAAAACTATAAAAGTATAGAGAAAGGAGATATAGCAGAGCAATAAAATGAGAAGAAAATAGTATGTATTTTCTATTTCCTTGTAAAAGTAAGGCTACTTGTTAACTTATGAGTAAAGTGTAAGTCACAGGGAGGCACAGGCAAGTAGTTGTCATTGGGTTCTGCTGGGAAAAGTCTGCTTCTGATGATCAGGACGTTAATTAGCAAGCCCAGTTATTCACATATGGTATTACTCCCTCATAGAAGACATATTTCCAGTAACTAAGGGCAGTCAATGCAATATTAAAACAAAGCAAGACAGAGGTTTCACTTTTGTTATCTTTTGAAGTGACTTACTTTGCTCTGATGATAATAATTTGGATCAGCGTTAATAAAAGATGTCAGTGTGTATTAGTTTATGAGGCGGACATAGAAACTGAAAGTCAAACAAACGTTCATTAACACAGACCATCACATGAGTAAACAGCAATGACACGCCTTGTCATTTTTATTACCTGTTAAGGATGGATCCTCAGTCCCGTCTCCAGCCATTGGGACACCCAAGGGAGAGTGGCGGGCAGGGCTGCCTAAACGTTCCTCTTGCTCTTTCAGAGATATGGAATTTTTGTGGGGAGATTTATGGTTTGTGTTTTCATGAGGGCTAACTTCCGATCTCTTTCTAGGAAGTGGAGTTGGTTTGGTTGGCTGGTAAACCTGACTACAGGGAGCTACCGGATGGTAGGATGGCTTCTCAGCTTGTCCTTCATCCTCCTCCCCCTCGTCGTCAATCACCACCAGCTCAGCGTGGATGACCCCATCATATCCTGTCAAAAGCTTCTTTTCTTCTTCATTATCATCTGCCTGCTGATACCCCATGAAAATCATCGTTACAGGTTCTGTGTCATCCACATCAGAAGGCAGAGAATGAACGATGTTGTATCTTACATCTTCAGCCTCCTCCTGGCAAGTGGGTGAGGAACACTGGGGTCCTGACTTCCCCGGGCTTGCTCTGCAGGGGCTTAGTCCCGTCCTTGGGGAAACCTCACGTTCATTCTGCCTGATGTTCGATTCTTCCCGAGGAGTTAGCATCTTTTGCTGGCTGTGGACCATCATCTCTTCTGCTTGCTGAACTGTTGATCGGGGCTGAGGTGTTGGCCGTGTAGGGCTGGTGTGAGATGGACCATTGCTTCTCCCCTCTGAAAGCCCATCGCTCATACTGTGCATGGATTCATTTGCATGGTTGCCCAGTCCATTAGCTTTCATCATTATCCTTTCTTGAAAGTTTGGTCCAGGGCTTACTCTCTCTCTCTGTGGGGTCATAGGCCTGCAAAACGGATTGGCATACACGGGCTCATGGTACTCTGTGGGTGACTGAGAGTTCCTCTCTGAGGCTTGTCTGAGGAGATCCTCTACTTCGACGGGTGCGAGGCCATCAGTGCCATTGTAGGTTGTGTTCTGGTTGGAGCTGACCGCGTAGACTGACTTCTGCCCGTCGTCATACACCTTTACTCCTGTACTTCTAAAGTTATCTGATGGGAGGGGTATTGAAGACAGAACAATACTTTCTCCAGTCTTCAAATCTTTTTCAACTTTAATTTCCATGGCGTACAAAGCTGTTAAAAGACAAATTTAATACAATATTTAACACTCTCTTTCTCTTATAAACTAGCTTGTTTGCTTTTACACCCTTTGATTGGTCTTTAATATGACATTTAAAAACTTCTACCTGAGCACTGGCGGCACACACCTTTAATCCTAGCACTTGGGAGCAGAGGCAGTAAATCTCTGTGAGTTAGAGGCCAGCCTGGTCTACAGAGCAAGTTCCAGGACAATCAGGGCTACACAGAGACAAACAGTTTCATTCAATATTAAGATTTTCATTCAGTGTTAAGTCTCAAATAAAACAAGGCAAAGCAAAACAACAATAACAACCACCACTACCACCACTAAACCCCAAACCCTTCTGATTTGGATGCTGGAGAGAGATGTCTTTACAAGGAGTCCAGGGTTACATTACTAGCACCCATGTTAGGAGGCCCACAACCTCCTATAACTCCATCTCCAGGGGATCTTATGTCCCCTGTCCCCCAAGGGCACCTGTATGAATGTGGTGCAGGTACAGACACGTACACATAAAAATACATCTGTAAAATTTCCCCTGGTTTTACCAATTAGTTCTATAACAACCAACCATGTAGCAAATGGTGTCTTAGGAAGTGTAGATTTTTGGAAAAATAATTTGGAGGCACAAGGAAGCAAAACAGATCCACATAGCTGATATTTTCACAGAGAACCAAAAGATATCTGTCTTCAGCTAATATAGGTAACCAGCCAGACTTATACACTTTTGTTTACTTATTATAAAGAATCTCTGCCTCCTTTTCTTTGGAAGAACACTCACACTATGGGCTGTAGCAGGCAAAACACCTATCAGTGTAATTTGCTGTTAATCATTGTTGCCAGCTCAGCTGCCTACTGAAACTGTAAAGTGCTCTGAGGTCTTTATAGTATGGAGAGTGCTTAGATGTGTCTCTGCACCCAAAGAAGTGGGAAGCCTAGAGTCCCATTTCTGTCTCTTTTTTAAAACTAAAAAATACTATATTTTATGGGTATAGGTGCTTTGCCTGCATATATGTCTGTGCACCATGTGTGTGACTGGTGCCTGAGGACACCAGAAAGGGCATCAGACCACCTGGAACTGGAGTTATAGACATTTGTGAGCTGCCATGTGGCTGCTGGGAATTGAACCTGGTTAATGGCAAGAGCAGAAGGTGCTCTTACTCGCTGAGTTTTCTCTCTAGTCACCTCTCTTTTATCCTCCCAATTTAACATCACTTTCAAGCAGACACAGGACTTAAAATAGAGCAATGGCAACCGTACCGAGACAACTGAACTGGAGGTGACTGGTGACTGAGGAGGCTGAAGTCTGTCTCACAACCCAGGCAAGAGCCCCACGGATGGAATTTTAACAGGTGAAGGGAAAGCATTCCTCTTAGCATTAGAATGTGTCAGTGCTTGCGTTTGGTGTATCTTTGCATTTTCCTTTAGCTCATATTTCTTGTGTCCTTGGCTGACTGATGTGCCGTGGCTTTCCCTGGGTACCCAATTAAACCTGAAAGCTCTCTGCCCATCTTCTCTCTGCCTCACATCTCTACCTCTGTCTTCTGCATTGCACTCCCCGAATGCTTAATTTAGTGGATACCTACCATGTGCCTAAGTGAGCTTGGTGTATAGTAGTTATTCATTAGATATCTGTTACCTCAGTAAGTGATTGCTACCTGCAGACAGAGCATGTCTTCTCCTTCAATTCTAAAATTCAAAGTTTTCCTCTTTAGCCAAACCTTCATTTCCCAGAGGCTTTAAAGTAATAGCTTTATGAAAATCATTATCCCACGAAGATAAATAATGCCTGACCTTTCCAAGGGGACGTTTTCACTTAAAATATTTTATAACTCAATATCTACTGGATGAAATTTTTGAGCAGAAAAGTTTTAGAGTCTTTCTTGCCTGTTTCAGGTCTTATCTTACTCATTACTGCTTATTTTGGTAGGAAGCAAAATGCATGGAATAAATAGTCACCCTGCTTTTGCCAACTGTGCAACCCTGGAAAACTGTCCCACAGTCCTTGGAACTTTGTAAAATGGACCTTTGCCTAAACTAGAAACACAAGCAAGCTGTGAAGACTTAATATAAAATATGAAATTGAGGGATCACTAGGATATGGCTCAGTGGGCAAAAATTTGCTACCTGATGACTTTAGTTCAATACTTGGAACTAACATTAAAAAAAAGGCAGATGTGATGGTATGTACCTGTTCTTAGGTGAGGCAGGATACAGAGAGAGGAGAACTGGCTGGAAACTCATGCATCAGCTAGCCTGCAGTAGGCTGCACACTGGCAGATACAAGAGAAATCCTGCTTCAGAGAAGGGAGGAAGAGAGAACTGACTCCCGGAAATTGTTCTCTGACCTCTGTGTGAATGTTGTTGCACACACACACACACACACACACACACACACACACACACACACACACAAATCATAGAAGAAATATGAAATTGAGAACATGCCATTGAATGTAGGTTCTCAAATACCTTTTCTATTTTGTTCATCATCTTCTTGTCCTTCATTTCTTTCCTTTCTTAATCTGGAAGGTATATAGGAACTTGGAAGGTCAGGGATATTAGCATAGATGTCCTCAATTGATTCTGTAAAGTTGATATTAATTCAAAATACATATAAGATATTTCTAATAGTGAGACAAGGCCAGTGATCTTATGAAATTATCTTGCTTTGACATGGAACATACAAAACATACCTTCTTGGATTTCTTCCTTTTCCAACTTCACAGACTGTTAAGATAAAAGATTTCCATGACAAACTTAGTTTAAAAAATAAAAATCTAAATATAGCAAATAATGCTTTAAAGAAATAGCATTTGTGGATTCTTTTTGGAGGGAATCATAGTTTAAAACTGAATTACACTCACTCTTATTATGTCCTCTGTAGTCCTCTCAATCGATTTTAACTTCTTTAGAATTGCCTCCTCATTGGCTGAGATTTGCAGTTCAGCCTTTTCAAGATCTTGGATCTCTTTCTCAAGCCTGACAATAAAAAGGATATATATATATATATATATATGTATGTATACATGTATGATACATATGCAGATTTGGGAGCCAGACATCTTCCAAGCATGTAGCATCCTATGGGGCATCACAGCTTCACATTGAGATCACATCTAATACAATGAAACTTCCAGATCATTGAACAGCTTTCGATCCAAGCTTGCTTACTTTTATTGTATTATTATTTTTAGCATACGGACTTCTCAGGTATAAAGGTTACTTTGGATTGTCAATTGGATTGAAGAGTCCCAGGGCATTAAAGGAGCATAGCTTTGGGCATGTCTGTGAGGGGTTTTCCAGGGAGTTTTAGCTGAGATAAGGAGACCCACCATACCAAGAACTGAGGACCCAGACTACAGGGCCCAAACTGAGGACTCAGACTGCATAGTGATGGAAAAGGGAAAGCTAATTGGACACCAACATCCCTCTCTCTCTGTTTTCAATGTGATCAGCTGCTACATGTTGTTCCTGCTGCCATGCCCCTCCTTACCATGGTGGACTGTATCTCCTCAAACCATTGGTCCTCATAAATTTCCCCTGCTTCAAGTTGCTCCTTTGTCATTGTGATGAAAAAACTAATTAGCACATTAGTGAATGACTAATGTTGCTTCCATATCAATCAGAATAATTTATTTTGTAAAGAGACTTTTTAAGCCGAATGTGGCAGCACAGAGGTGATTACAGCACTTATGAGGCTGAGGCTGGAAGACTGAGGGTTTGAGGCTAGCCTGAGCTACAAGAAATGTTGTTTCAATATGAGAGGGTAGGAAGGAGAGAAGGAGGGAGGGAGGGAGAGAGAGCAAGAGTAAGAGAGAGAGAGATTAACTCAAAGAAATAGTACATTTGTAATTGAATAGTGATTTAAGGTTTTTACTCAAGTCTGCAAATATTTAGAAAAAATATTATTATTAAATTTAACTTAATAATCATATGTATTTAATGGGTAAATTCCTGTTTTTAAAAGACAGGGTGTCACTGTGTAGCTGTCACTGCATTACTGTACTGGAACTCACTGTGTAGACCAGGCTGGCCTAGGACTCACAGAGATCCACTGCCTCAGCCTCTTGAGTGCTGGGATTAAAGGTGTGCACCACCACCTCCAGCCCTAGCATATTCTAACATCAAAATGACACTGTTTTAGGCTCCTTGAGCACTGTGCTATTTTCTGAGTAGGGTGAAGAGATGGAGAAATGGATGTAATCCCATTTCTATTACAGAGACTACATTTTCTGTGGTGTGATAGCAGATTGGGGAGTTGAGGAGGTGGGCAGGGAGTAGATATGTATGTCCTGATAATACACAAGGGAATTAGTCAGAGACACACATTTGAAAATGGACTGTTACAATACACTGAATTCATAACCAGCATTCAGATGAGCTCCAGGATGTGTCATTATGACCTCTTCCCTGCATGATGCCATGAACCCTGGCAGTTGCAGTTACTAAGGCTAGCCCTTAAGCCATGAAATGCATGTAGTCTTAGACACTCTGAACTCGGAAGTCAGCTGTCTCAGAGGACAGCTGATTTGATGTAGCAGCTGGTTCAAGAGATGACAACTGTGGAGATTCATGTCAGCTGATATACTTGTCAGTTCTCTTGGCTTCCTCCTTAAAGATGGCCATGGGCCTGGCTGCTCTAAAATCTTAGGTTATTGTCACAGCAATAAAAATCCCAGGATGTGATTGTCTTGGCTATTCTAGTCATTGCTTTAACTCTAGGTTCTGATACTGATGCTGCCTCTGCCCGTTTGTAGGCCATTTGTAGCTGAGGAGGTTTTCCTGCACACCATAGAACTTCAAGTGAATTATAGTACTCCTGGCTTATTAGGAGTTTCTAGGAGATTCCTGCAATTCAAAAAATTCTTCCAGATCTCTGGTAGCATTTTCCCATTGACAGAATTATTAAATGTGTGCTGAATAATGAAATGGGTGTTGGTTCAGTTTGGGAACCACTAAAAGTGATAAATTTGGATCCTGTAGTTTTTGCTATGTATTATAGTCAGTTTCTTAAACCTCCTCAAAACTCAGTTTTGCAGCATGCATGAGAATAGCCTTGCTTGCCTTGTTTTAATCGGATGCTGGGTAAAGGTAGAAGAGAGGATGAGAATGAAAGCCAGTTGAACAAGGCAGGTGGCAGGCATAAGCTTATTCACGAGTGAATTCCCAAGGCTTTCCACAACACAGTCCACTTTTGTCTCCTTTTACCACCTACCTAAGAGTTCTTTTCCTAATATATGTGTCATACATATATAGGGGAACCTGGGTAGAAACAAAGGAGGTTCAAATGACTACAGTGCCTGAATTTCAGGATCCAGCTGTAGAATGAAAGAAATGTAGGCTGGAATTCTGCTTCATTTGCCAACTTCCTGTGTGATCTGAGACTGATTACTAAGACTAATCATTGTTGCCATTCATTTATGCACCTACATTAAAATGTTTATTTAGTGCCTTCATTGTTCCAGGAAGTACTCTATATGGTGTTGATATGATAGTGAAAAATGGAGAAGTTGGCTTTCTATCAGGGAATAATACATTAATACACAGGCTGGCAGGGTTGTTCTGTGAAAAACCTGATGCAAAATGTTTTAGGTTTATAGTCCACGTATGGCTTATGCATTAATTCATTCATTCATTCACTCACTCACTCATTCATTTCCCCTTAGTTTTGCTGTATAACCCTTTAATTTTATAAGTGTGTGTGTGCATGTGTGTGTGTGTGTGTGTGGTGTATGCCATTCCTATTTTGTTTCCATAAAAATACAGGCCAGAGTTAGATAGGTTCTAGGCTATAGTTTGTCAGCCCCTGCCTTAACAAGTGTAAATATGCATGCATACCTACTTTCTTCATAGATAAATATAGTAATGTATGTGTATATAAGCCCATATATATTTGTATATAAAGAAAAATATTTCTATGAAAAAAGCAGTATAATTGATTACCAGGATAAAAGGCAAACAACATTGTCCAGGAAAGTCACTTTAAAGAAATATTATTTGTGAAAATAAATGAGGTTAGGGCATAAACAATGCTCCCCAGAGAGCAGGGTACCTAAAAATCTTGAGGTAAGAGTAGAAAGAGTAAGGAGGAGAGAGTTGATAAGTGAAGAGGAGACCTTGGACATAGACAGGTTGGTGAACTGGAAGGTCAATTGCCATATCACTCTCAGAAGCTAAGTGGGGTCAGGTCTGGTTACTACTTGGATGGGAGAGGCAAGCATGGGTATCTGTTGTTAATAGTCTGGATGAAGATGCCCTAATCTAAGGTGGTTGCTGATAGACGGGTGAGAAATGGTGGGGTTCTGGAAATAGTTAAAAGAGAGAGGCTCCAGAATTTGTTGATGGATTATAGAGTACAGGTGTGTGTGTGTGGGAGCAGAGATGAGAAGAACCATGACATGTTAGGACCCAAGTAGCTAGAAACCGGCAAGTGCAACTCTTTAGAAGATGAAGCCAACGCCGGGCGGTGGTGGCGCACGCCTTTAATCCCAGTACTCGGGAGGCAGAGGCAGGCGGATCTCTGTGAGTTCGAGGCCAGGCTGGACCAACAGCCTCCAAAACAATACAGAGAAACCCTGTCTCGTAAAAACCAAAAAAAAAAAAAAAAAAAAAAAAAAAGAAGATGAAGTCAGAAGACTGGTGGGCTCAGTTAAATCTCAGACAGTCAAGTGTGGTATAGGGGTGATAGGGTCTGGGTTTGAAAACATGAATTTGGAAGCAGGAAGTCTGTATAGCTACATGCATGGGTACGATTTCCTAGAAAGAAAAAGTGATAGATAAAAATTCCAAGCTTGAGACCTGCCGGATGGCATGGAGCACAAAGGGGCTTGCTGCCCAGTCCTGTCGACCGAGTTTGATCCTTAGGGTCCACGTGGTAGGAGGAGGGAACTGACATCTGCAGTCACACCGCAGCATGTGTAGATCCCCTACCACTCCCTAACAAGTAAATAAATATGTATTTTTTAAAATATCAAGATTGCCAGAGGTCTGGTCAATGTTAAATATCCACCAGGGCTTAGCTGAGAAACAGAAGTAGATTGTACAGCAGATGCTGCTTTCTTCCTGTCTCTCCCTCTTCCTGATTCATTTCTTAGTCTGCCTGGCCAGTGTCATTGTGGCGAATTATGACATGCACTGGCATCAGGTATTTTTTCCCTCTGAAGAAAAGGCACTGGATAAGGTAATGCTGTGGGAGTCACATAAATGCTTTTAGAATAATATGATTAGAATAGGAGCCTTGAGGCTTGCTAACCCCATCAGAGTCTTTGCTAATAAATGTTTCTGAAGCTTTTTAAGTCTCAGGTGAAAGATGTATTACTAGGAGACATCGGTCCAATGACACACCACAACGCTTGTGAAAACCAAACAGAACAAATGCTCCCCTCCCAGTTCTCTTTTCTTGGTTCCAACCAGCATAGTAAGGAAATGTCTTGTTGGTAAATTACTTAGCAACCTCTGGCAGGAGGAGTTTATTGATGGGGACTTTCTTTTGTAGTTTCCACTGAGTGCAAAAACTTAGCTTTTTATTATTTCGTCTTTATTTCTTACTTATGTCCCTTATGTATGGATGTTACCATGAAGAGATAAATGGTAGAGATTTGTTTTTTCTCTGAAAGCTTCCTCTATGATTGGGATGTCTTCTTAGTGGTGGGAATGTAAAGAACAGTGACTGAGAATAAAGAACTAGAAATTCTCAGGGTCCCTCCACTTGCTCACGATTCAGAAGTATCCTGGAACTCAGATCCCTATGTAGCAGGGACGGTAGAGAGCAGGGTGGGAACACACTCAGTCCCTACTCTATCCCTTGCCACCTTGAGGTCAAAGACAGCTCGACTGCTGTCACATTGCCTGTGCCACACATTGACATAAGCCCCACTCTCACATACAACAGAGTGTCCCTTGTTATGCAGTCTAAGTCTTGTATGACCAGCTTGCTTTATCTGGTGGGACTGAAGCCTCTTACTTTAGACATCTGTCAA